GGAGTGGAAGATCTCTTGGGAGTAGATGCTGCAAAGAGGAGGGGAAGCTGCTTTGACAGCGGCAACGGCGTCCCCAGTCTCTGCCTCCCTGCCCCCCATCTCCACACCTACCTACTACCTTCCCTTTACTTAAAAAGGGATGTAAAGCGGATGGGGCCAGCAGGGGCATGGTGGGTGGGGCCAGCAGGGGCATGGTGGGTGGGGCCAGCAGGGGCATGGTGGTGGGGCCAGCAGGGCATGGTGGGTGGGGCTGGATCCCCACATGGCTGACTGCAGTGGACCTGGCGCTTTGCTTTCTTACTCTCTCTCTCTCTCTGTCCCTCCCTGGCCAAATTTAAATAAACAAACAAATAATAAATAAAGTTAAATAAAATAATTCTTTAAGAAAAAATGGACTTGGGACCAGCAGTTGGCATAATGGCTATGTCACTGGACTCCCATGTAGTTGACCGTGGTTCAAGTCCCGGACCTGGTGGCTTAAACTCAGGACAGGGGTTAAACTCAGGCCAGGTGTGTGTGTGTGTGTGTGTGTGTGTGTGTGTGTGTGCCCAAGATCCCAAGAGGAGAATGGACAAGGGGTTGCGGCATGGCCGTCCGCCCTGGGGGGTGATTTCTCACTGTCTCTCTGTCTTTCTGGCGAGTGCATGCACCCTATATCAAAATTCTCTTCAAAAAAAGGACTCTAGATCTATTGTCACTCAAACTTACTGGGGAAGTGGTGGCCCTGACACTGTGGTAACTGGCCGGGGAGCACCAGGACACATTCTTTGCCCAAGGCCTCTGCCTCAGCCTTCAGAAATCACAGCTTGGGTAACTGACTGCGGCCGTGTCAGTCACTCCACGCCTGATGCTGTCAGCTTGGCCTCCCTGTGAGAAAGCGGGCTGCCAGGTCTGGTACTCGAACAGGCTGGCCGCAGGAGTCCAGCACCTCAGGCACCACGCCGCCTGCTGGCCACAAAACTTTTTAAAGAAGAAACAAAAAAGGAGAGGGAGGGAGAAGGAAGGAAGGAGGTCCTAGCCAACAGCGATGGGCATAGTGACCCTAAATGATGCGAATCGTGGTCCCGGGAGAGTTTTCTGTCCCCTCTGCCTCTGTGCTAGCTCTCGGCTGGAAACTGGTGGCCTGCTTCTCCATGTGACCCAGTCCTGCCGGACACCAGGGCACTCCTGCAGCCACGCCCACCGTTTCCCAGCCAGGCTCTGCCAAATCACAGTCTGAGGCTAAGTCGATCCTGTTGGAAGATATGAGCCTATGTCGGAATCGAAAGGTCAAGCTGTGGACAGACCTAGTGGTGTCAGGACTGCACTGGTCTCGTGTCCTGTTACTATGGTGTACGTGTTACGATCAGGGACGAGTCCTTCTGCCTCTGCCTCCCGCTCATCAGTGTAAGACTCAGGACCAGTTTGGGCTTGGCCCTTCTGGGGCACCCTGATTGTGATCCCCAACTCACAGACCGGTCCCTCCATTAGAAATTCTGTCTGGGACCAGCAAATGGTTACATGCTAGACTCCCACACAGTTGACCATGGTTTGAGTCCTGGACCTGGTAGCTGAAAACTCCTACGCCAGGCACATGCATCCCCAAGGTACTGAGAGGACAAAGAACAGACTGCAGCATGGTCATCCCCTGGGGTGATTTCTCGCTTTCTGTCTCTTCGGTGAGCACACATGCCCTATAGCAAAAATGTCTCTCAAAAAAAAAAAAAAAAAAAAAAAAAAAAGAAAAAGAAAAGAAAAGAAAAGAAAAGAAAAGAAATTTCTCTGTCTATGCTTAGAAAAGTGTTTCAAGGGGCCAATAGTGATATGGTGGTTAGGGCGCTGGACTCCGACATGGCCAACCACAGTTGGAGTCCTGGGCCCAGCAGCTTCAAAGTCATGCCAGGTGCATGTGTGTGTATGCCCAAAACTCAGAGCAATGACTGCAATGCCACCCCTGGGAGGTGACCTCTCACTTGCCCTCTCTCTGGCTAATGCACACACCCTATGGCAAAAAACAAAACAAAACAAACAAACAAAAAACCTTAAAGAAATAAAAAAACAAAGAAAGAAAGAAAAAGAGAAGTGTTTTGGGAGCCAGCCCTGTAGTCCAGTGGTTAAAGGAACTGACTTCCACGTGGCTGACTGCAATTTGAGTCCTAGTCACGGTGGCTTGAAAACACATGCCAGTCATGTGTGCACGCATGTCTAAAGTTCTAGCAGGATGAAGAGATGGAGAAAGGACCGTAGCATGACCAGGTCCCATTGAAAGACACCTCTCTTTCTCTAGTGAGCGTGCGCACGATCTGCCAATTTAAGAAAACAAGAACAAAACAGTGCTTCATTCCTGGTGCTCTGTCTTCTAACCTACCATTAGAGTACTCGGAGTGTGCCGAGTACAATCAGGCCAGAAAGGAGCCTCAGGAACATGGCTTGGGATGCACAGAGAACTCAGGCTCTGTGGGGGCTGAGCACCCTGAGCTCACAGTCCTTGGGACAGCATCCGTATCTACTATTAAGGCTTACACCCTGGCTCTCCATGGGACCTTTACTTTTCTTTAATGGCGTGCTCACCAGAGAGAAGCAGAGAACAGCCCAGTGGGACACGGCATGCTGCAGCCTTCTCCTCACCAGGGTTTCGGACAGAGGCTCGTGCACCTGGTGAATTTCCAAGCCACAGGGCTGTAGTCAGCCACTAGCCTACTGGTGACCTGGCTCCCGTAACCACTGTACAATGGGCAGGATGTCTTAATTTTCTCAAAAAAGGGGCATTCCCTGACCTTTCTGAATCCGAGCAGCATGTCTGCTCATGTGGGGTCTATGATCGCTGCAGCCCTGGCCAGGAGCGACCACCATGTTTTTGTGCTGCTGTGCCCCAAAGGACACCTGGACCACGCCTAGCCCCACCTGTTGGTGATGTACTCCACATAGGCGATGGCGTCGTCGATCTGGCGCTTCTTTGTACAGAGGATGATGCGGTTGAAGTTGGCGTAGACGACTGATGACCCTAGGCGTTTGAACTCAGCGATGAGCCTGCAGGGGAAGGTCAGAGTCAGTGGTGGAGATGCCACGGTACACAGCAAGACCAGAGACCACCAGGAGAGACCATGAGGGAAACATCTGGGCATCCCGAAGTGGGGCAGCCTCCCAGGGACACTCAGAACCCAGGAGTAATAAAGAAGGGCAAAAGGGGACCAGCAGGTGGTGTGATGGTTAAGGTGCTGGGCACTGCCACGTGGCCAACCACGGTTCGAGGTCTGGACCTGGTTGCTTGCTTTCTCTCTCTCTGTCTCTGGTCAAATGAAAAAATAAATGAATGAATAAATAAAATTAAATAAATAATCATAATTTAAAAAAAACAAACAGCAAAGAAACCTGCATGGTAAAAATACCATATACAAGGGGCCAGCAGGTAGCATAGTGATTAACGGTGTTGGACCCACATGACCAACCATGGCCAAGTCCCAGATCGGCAGCTTGCTTTCTCACTTTCCCTCTCTTTCTCTCACTCTGTCTCTCTCTGGTCTAATTAAAATAAATAAACAAGTAAATAAATAAAATTAAATAATTTTCTTTTCTTTTCTTTTTTTTTTGGAGAAGTTTTTGCTATAGGGCGTGTGCACTCGCCAGACAGACTGAGAGAGACAGAGAGACAGAAAGCGAGAAATC